CGTTCGCACACCAGGATGCAGCCCTAACTGTCTTGTTGCGGACCCTGCTGCCAGGGTAATGTATAAACAGTCATTTGCATGGGCACCACAGATTTTGTTTACCAACTCTACCAAAGTACAGACACTGTCGGCTTCCACCTGCATATGGACACTGATTTCTCCAATCCTCTGATTCCACTGCTGCTTGTGTCAGAGCCTGTTTTTGAGCTTAGTGTGAGGTGGCTATAGAAAGCTCACTTAACTGTTGCCTAAATTAGACTGATAAACCTTATAGCTTTGAGTAGCTTTCCTCCTTAGTTGATCCTCTGAGTTGGTACGAAAAGATTTACTGTTTGAAGCGAGTGAATCTTAAAATTTTCATTTTATGTACCAAAATATCATAATGAATATTTTCCAATCTCTCTTTATCCCTTAGAATTAACCTCTTACAATCCCAGGCTTATTACATACTAAGGCCTATTATTCAGTAGCTGCAGGGACTTCAGTGCAGACTGGCTGAGCTATTCTCAGGTTATAGTGTGTAATAAAACCTTGGGCCTGCTGTCAGGCCTTTGGCTTCCCAAGGGGTTAAACAGGCTGTTTTTGTTGCTGTCTTTAACACTAATATATGTAAATGACCCCTGTTCTCATTGGCTGCCTGTATTGTGCCCCTTTAAAAGAGCGCTCTGAAACACTCCTTTTAGCTTCAGTGTAAATGGGTGGAGTTCAACTGTTCTGGGCTCAATAGGAGGAGAATATATGTTAATAAATTCAAAACAGGCTGTTTTTGTAGTTTAGTTTCTACATATGCACTGTGTGGACTGGCAGTAGGTGAAACATAAACCTGAAAAAATGTTTTTGGGGATTGTCTCCCCATGCCCTGCACGTACCCCTCCACCATAAATGTATTTTAAAAAATACATTTTAGGCCAAAATCATCTCATAAATATCATAATGTCTCAGGAATCAGGTAGTGTATTCATAACCATCATTTCCTGCACTAACTTTTCCGTGAGGCAGCTTTTAGAGGCATTAAACCCTTCAGACGTCTGGTTCCTATCACCACCACTGTGAACAATTCTGACTCCCAAGAATGGTAAAGATTAGAAAAATTGATGAAATTCCCCTTTAACCCCTTAAAATCCCGGTCTTATTATACACTAAGGCTTATTATTCAGTAACCACAGGGACTTCAATGCAAACTGGATGAGCTATTCTTAGGTTATAGAAGTGTGTGATAAAAGTTTGGGCCTCCCGGTGGGCCCTCGCCATTAAAGGGGTCAGCTGACAGAAGGTTGCTGTACATACTGGCTTTCTACATCTGTAACTCTTTTGCTGTGATTTTCAGTAAGATCACAGATAAATGCTGTAGATGAGGGCAAAATCTATTATGAACATCAATTTGCTACGAGTAAATGAGCAAATAGAAAAAAAATGGTCAATATAATTACATCATCATATGCTACGTTTGAGCACCTCCTGTCAAATTAAATGTTTTTTGTTGGTTTTCTGAGTGAAAATGAACAAATCATCTACAGGCAACAAACTTAAACATGGTATTTTTGTGCAAATGCTGCTGCACTATTTCTATGTACTTACTGATATATTGCAAAAAATATACATATAAAAACTTTTACACGGGCCACATTTTATATCACTTTTAGTTTTCCAATATGTTCAATTCAGCAAGCAAACATTAATTTTGCATTAAAAAAGAATGCAAAATTTTAAAAATTGTGAGAAAGACGTGTGTTTCTCACATTCTGTGTAGAGGATGTGTATTTACTGTCGATTCAGCAAAGACATATCATTTGACCAGGGGTGCCCAAACTTTTGCACACGGCCGCATATGCGATGATCCTGCAAAAGCGTATTTAAAACAATGCTAACTGAATGAAGTACCAGACAAATAAATAAGTACAAATCAAGTGAAAACCTCTTTATTCCATTGCTATTGTCATAAATAACAGTCCAAACAAAGACAAGGAAATGAAGTGTCCAAAAAAGGGCATATCGTGCTGCTGTGGGATTTTCCTAACTGTCTCTTTTGTTTGAGGGAGCTGGTGTGTGCACAGCGGTGTCATTAGGAATTTGCTTGTCAAAGTAGTTGAGACTGGATTGATGGGAGAGATGGGAGTGTCTGCAAATCTCTCACTTTAGTGTCTGTAACAGTAGGCTTACGGCCTTGTGATAACATGACACTCTCTTAACAGAGAACTCGAGCCCAAAGAGATTGTTTGTAAGTATCCAACATATGTAAATCTTTTGCTCCGTGACTCACCCTGCCAGGCAGGCTTGTTTTTTCGAAGCGAGCCCAAAGGAATTTACGTTAAAGCTGCTTTCTCCCTACGTGCCAGGCCACTGAGTCCATCCATCCAGTCCCTTGAAGTTTACAAACCCGCTTGACAGGAGATTTGCATGCAGAGTTCCAGGTACACATTTGAATGAAGCTCTATCGCACAGAGATTTCGCCCTGCCTGGGGCAGAAAAAAGTGCAGGAGCGACCGCAAAGCCAACGGGAACTGTGCATCCGGATCCTCTACAGGGCGGACACGCGAAAGGCAAACACAGCCAGGCACTCTTTCCAGGGCCATCTCGTGTTTCATATCAGGCTTCAGGTGGGATAGAGAGAGCTCATGCATTTACATATACATGCAATACATGCTGCCTCTCCTCATTTGTCCTCCTAGTCATTTATCACTCTGAGGTGCCTCTTCTTTCATCTTCTGCACTTGAGTGACTTTTTTACAACGTTTATTCAGATAGTGTAGAGTTTGCATGTAGTTTAGAACAAAAAAATATTCCATAAATAGCATACGCTGAGCTTAAGTTACAATTCTCACCTTAAATAACATTCATATAAAAGAATATTGAAAAAGTGGGTGACAAATTAAAGGGCGTACATCATGGGAAATGCAACTTTTTTGAAATAAAAGTTTGATGCAGTATGTAAACACGGTTAAAGTCCACTCTCCATGTCATACTGTTCAGATATGAAGTAAAAACAGTCCATTTTGAACATTTGCAGCAGTTTAGCTCCACCCAATCACACTGAAGTTATAAGGAGTGTTTCAGCCTGGATTGCTTTGTGAATAAGGCACAATCCAGGGTGAGAACAGAGCTCATTTGCATGTATCAATCTTAAAGGCACAGTGCAAAAAAACACTGTTTTATTCTACATTAAAAGAGGCTGTGTTAAAAATGAAGTATGACTGTTTTTCATAAACCCACACAAACATCACAAGGGGAAAAAAAATCAAACACAAGTAAAATATAAGATATGGGCCCTTTAATGGAAAAAACAACATAAGGTGTTAGGCCACTAAGCTCTACCAGAACAGCTTCAGTGGACCTTTGGCATAAAGTCTGCTGGATGGACAACCAGCTAAAGATATTCCCTCAGTGGGTGACCTGATGAGCGCTGTCTAACCTCAGTCCATAATGTCCCACATGAGTTCAAATGAAGGCCTTAGCACACTATTGACATAGTTTTAATGTTCATTAAGCCAGTCAGCGAGTCCTCGTGCTCTTTTTGGATTGTCACTCTGGAGGAGACCACTACCATTCAGGATATCGCTGTTGTCGGAAGAAAACCTTGTATCTCCATTTTTGTCGTTTTTCAGTTTTTGACATAATTTGAAAATACCTGTTGCCCTTTACATTGTGTGTAAATTTCATGATGAATGGACCAAAAGAAATGACCCAAAATGATGTGGAAAAAAATCTGGCTCCATTGACTTACATTAAAAGTAAAGTAGGTTTTTTCCTTCTCCTGTAAAGTTACCATTTTGGAGATACGAAGTTTTCTCCCGACAACAGCGATATTAATATTTAATAGTTTAAATCAGATCAGCCAGAATGACTTTGTATTGATTCTCAGTGACCCTTTCCTCTACGGGGACAAGTGGACCCAAACTATGCCAGCTATAACCCCACAGCATAAAAGAGCCAACGGACCCCCTCACTGTAGGGCTCAAGCCTTCAGATCTGCACTGTTCCCTTGATGTCTACTGCACATGCACTCGCCCACTTGTGGAGAACATGGTTTTCCACATGTCAGCAGACCAGTGTCTGTTGTTTTGACCGTCTTTGTAATGAGAGGTTTCTGCACTGCAGCCCTGCCATTACATCCCTGTCTATGTAGTTATGGATGGACTGTTCTTGCTGACACAATCTGATCACGTCCTGCATCGACATTCTCAGTAACAATAGTTGCCCTTCTGGTTTTCCGTACGTATCCAGCTCTGTTTACTGATGTCTTTGCAACAGATCTAAATGCTGATTTCACTTTAATCACAGTTTCTACTGAAACACTCGTCTGTGCAGCTGTCTTTGTGACTGAAACTCCTTCTGTTTGTGCCCCAGTAATGAAACCTCTTTGAAAGTCACTTAAATCTTTTCCTCTTGATCCAAAATTGAGGTCAACTTGGCCTGCTCGGCTTTTTACACATGCCACAGATCATGGTAGCATGCTTAATTGTATGTCTTACTCATTTTTTCAGGTTTCCTTTAATTTGTCACCCATTTGTACATTTAGTATTACAGCCCTCAAGGACACGTAAAGGGGAATTCCACCCATTTTTCCAAATTTCTGCATAATTAAATGGTTACGATGTAAACGAAGTCCTTCATGGTGGTTTTATGTGAAATGCTACATTATAGAATCAACACTGTTCACACTGGTGGTGATAGGAACCAGACGTCTGGGGAGTTTGATGCCTCTTAAAGCTCCCTCAGAGAAAGTTATTACATGAAACGTTTATGAACACTGCCTGATGTTTTGAGCAGGTTTTGGACTAGCAAATGTTATTTTAAATACAGTCAGAATGGAGGGGTACGTGTGGGATGTTGTGAGACAAAATAATCCCTAAATACATTTTTCGTTTTATTTTTTATAATCAACATTTTGTATAAAAACTCAGAAGAATAGTAAATAAAATGGCTATGTTGGTGACATTGAGACCCCATGGTTCCCATCACCACCACTGTAAAGAAATCCAAGCTGGTAAGTTTCTCTACAATATCACATCAAACCACTCTTACTTTGTTTACATCTCAATGGCTGAATTATGCAGATAATTGGAAATTCCCCTTTAAAAAAAAATGACCACAACTAAATATATCCAACTGAGATGTTGAACAAATAACTGAGCTACTCATTCATGATATTAGTTAGATGGGCTGAAAATGTGCGATAATATAGAAATGATTCAGAAAGTTGTTTATACGTTTCTTTTGTACCTGGCATGAATTCCAAAATGATGCAGTAATTAGCCCATGTTCGTCACCATCAGTACAACTGTGCTGTGGCCTTCTGAAGAGCAGAAATGAGTCTCGGGTGCGTTTATAAATGCTCGCACATTAGTTTGTAGAATGCAGTCTTCATCCCATGTGCTGTGTTTCAGCCCTGCCAGCACGAAAGGACTTTCTCGATGACTGGTCAGCAATTCTCTGTCCGGCCTGCCATCATTTCAGGCTGTGCTGGCTCTCATGGTGTCTACGGAGGTCCACCTTCCTCTGGAAGCCCTTGGAGCAGATCTCGCAGCCAAAGGGCTTGAAGCCCGTGTGCTTGCGGCTGTGAGTGATGAGGTTGGAGCTCTGGCTGAACGCTTTGCCGCACACCTGGCATTTGTGCGGTTTCTCACCTGTCGCAGACCAACAACAAAGCAGAATTAAAACAGAGAGAAAAGTGCATGTAGCAACAGACACACATGATTAAACCTATGAAGAGAAAAGTGTTGATGCTGCACTCATAACTTGTTCATGCCACCTCAGCTGTTTGAAATCGGAAAAAAATTGGACGGTTAGGGTTCACTAGCATTTATTTGCCTAGAGAATGCACATAAAAGGTTCTTAAAAAGCGTTTCCACTAGAATTAAAAAGAGGTTTGGTTAGTTTTTCGTTTATTTTAATGTTTTTCACAGTAGTTCCCTCTATTTTTGCGCTATGCATTCTTTTTTATTCAATATCGCTGACTGTATATATACGGTATATATATTTTAAGAGACGTTTGTATGATTTACAAAACTGGAAGCGAACTAGATTTTTGTCTGAACAAACAAATCATTCATTTTCTAAGCCGCTTATCCTCCTGGGTCGTGATGGGTGCCAGACCCTATCCCAGCGTTCATTTGGCAGAAGGCAGAAAACACCCTGGACAGACACACAGACGTATCGCTGTTGTCAGAAGAAAACCTTGTATCTCCATTTTTGTCGTTTTTCAGTTTTTGACAGAATTTGAAAATACCTGTTACCCTTTAATTTATCTGTAAATTTCTTGATGAACGGACTAAAAGAAATTACCCAAAATTACTTGGAAAAATCTCTGGTTCCATTGACTTACATTAAATGTAAAGAAGGCTTTTACCTTCTCCTGTAAAGTGACCATTTTGGAGAGGTTTTCTTCTGACAACAGCGATATAGAATCACACCTAGGGGTTATTTAGCATCTCAGATTTGCTTGACTGCATGTCTTTGGACTGTGGGAGGAAACCCACACAGACACGGGAGAACATGCACACAGAAAAGACTCTGGTTGCCCGGCCGGAGAATCGAACCCAGGCCTTTGTTGCTGTGAGGTGACAGCACAATGGGACTGTCTGATATGAAGAAAGTTGCAGTTGTGTTGTCCATTTTTTCTCAGCATGGCTGTTTTTGTGGAGAGGTGTGATTTGTTTTCACAGCAGGAAGTTCTCACTCCTCTCCTTTCGCCCCTCATTGCTTGCTAGCAGCTCAACACAGAGTCACAACTATAGGTGGGCGATATGGCAAAGATGTAATATCACAATACTTCAAGAAGTTTTCACACTACAAATTGTGTCACAATATATATATTTTCTGATATCTGATAAACTGAAAAAGATAAAATAATGCCACTTTAAAAACATACTATCAAAAATATGAATATAGTAAATTGTAGTCAGCTTTTTACACACTGCTCAACCCTAAATCCAATAAAACAGACTAATTGTGCTCTCCTTGTAGTGAAACATGCAAGTGGGTTGTTTCCTTAAGTACTAAGAATATCCACAATATGCTCAGAAAAGCATATTGAGATGTAATATATCACAATAATAATAAATAATGCCATATTGCCCAGCCCTAGTCTCAGTGTCCTAGTTAATCTGAAAATATTTCATTTATTATATTACCCAGATAGCAAGCATATATCGGTCTGCTGGCTAGATTATTTGGGCTCCCCTAAGACTTTATGCAAGGCCTAACTGCGTCCTCAGGCAGTTTTAAATGCACATTTTAAAACATATACTAAGACAAACATTATGAACAATTTAAAAAAACACACTAGGTCTAATATTTAATGATTTAGTTGAAAATGATGCAAACTAGATTTGTATAGATTCGTTGTTGCGAACTCATTTGTATAATGAACTGGCTGCTCTGAGGCAGCGGCTCACCCTCTCATTAAACTGATGAACGGCTGAGAGAAGCCGCGCGCCGTTCTAACAGGTGCTCCAGGTGAAGACAGTCAACGGACAGATACAGAAACTCGTCTGACACTGTGAGATTAATATCTCCTTGCCAGTCAGCTTACTTCAAAAGGGTAGCTTTGTTTAGTGTCTTTCAATGTTTATAGTGAAGATTTATATCAGCTCCTAAACCCTCAAATTCAGCAGAGCACAGTACTTCAGATTTAAACAAAATAAAGGATCCTCACAGCAGCGACGCTACCAAAGAGAATCCTCAAGAGGAAAATAATTATTTTTAAAAGGAGAGAAAGTGAGAAATAAATGTATCGTGATTTCAAAATTCATGACTAATCTTGAAATCGGTGTATTTAAAAATGACAGCAAAGACGTGAAAATGAATGTGCATACAAATAGAGTTATGTTAGTGTCGCATGTACTTTCATTTTAGCTTCTTTGATATCATTTTTGACTATATTCAAGATTAGTCATGAATCTTTAACTAAATGTTTAGTGTATTTCTGAATGTAACTTTCTGACATTATTTTAAAATATTACTCTTAAAGGTATTTACTTAAATCACTTTACAATAATAAGTTACCCTTTATTAGTCCCACAATGGGGAAATTCACCTCCACATTTAACCCATCCGTGCAGTGAAACTCCACATACACACTAGTGAACACACATACACTAGGGGGCAGTGATCGCACTTGCTCGGAGCGGTGGGCAGCCCTATCCATGGCGCCTGGGTAGCAGTTGGGGGTTAGGTGCCTCGCTCAAGAGCACTTCAGTCACATACTATCAGCTCTAAGGATCGAACCGGCGACCTTAAGGTCACAGGGCTGGTTCCCTAACCTCCAGCCCATGACTGCCCCAAAGGAGAGATAAATAAAAATAAGTAAATTGGATTGTGTACACAAAATGAAAGGTGAAAGGTTTTTTTCTAAAAATCTGCTTAATTACTAGTGGACCACCTGGAAAACGATCGTCAGTGGACCACCAGTGGCCCCCTATCTTCTTGCTATGTGGGTAATTAAAATATCTGAGTTGATTTCCATTCCACTGGCAGAATGCCCACGAGGCAAAAAGAGGTTAAACATGGATGCAGGCTGTAACAATTCACCATCAAAATTACACGACAGCACACAGTTTGATCAAAAATCCTGCACAAAATGACTTGAACTTTCAATTCTTTCAATTATTTCATATATTGAAAGTGTATTTAGAGATATCATCCAGAAATCATACAACATGCACAAATAAAAACTTAGTCTGTTTGAAATACTCAAAAATACATTACTTCTTAATGAGGCTGCCATGTTGAAGTGACGTCATGGAACCACAACTCTGACTTTCCAAGAGGAAATTATGAGTTGGAGAGATGTTCAAGTGGGTTTCTCTCACTTGGAAGTCAGAAACGTCCCAGTGTCAATGTGGTCATGAACGCAGCATGAACTGAACTTCTAAGCAGGTCCGAATGAGACTGTAAAATCTTTGCTTAAAATCGACGCGACAGATTTGCATGCTCTCCAGATTTGTACAGTTTCATTGGGAGCGTTCTAGTCTGCTGTGACAGGCCTGTGGAGGAAGCTTTCACAGAGTCCTCAGCAAAACAGGGAAATCAGATATGCAAATCAGCTGCGCTGTTTAATTTTCATCTCTTGATTTATCTGCAGGTATATCGCTCTTGGAAACAGCACGGGGAAAACAAAGCAGTTTTGCTATCAAAGTTTCAGAGCTGTCCAGGATTGATGCGAGTCGCACGGCCTGTTTGCTCGCTCTGCTCACCTGTGTGGATGTAGGTGTGCTTCTTCATGTCCGATTTCTGGTGGAATCTCTTGCCGCAGTACTGGCAGGGGTATGGACGAGTGTCTGAATGGATCAGCAGGTGTGTGGACAGCGTGGAGGAGCGCTTGAATGTCTTCCCACACATCTTACACTCGAAACTTTTCTCCTTTTCATGCACACAAAAACATGTGTTGACTTCAAGCCAATCATGGCAAAGAAATACTTTAAAATACTATATTTTAAAACTATAACAATCAGTTTGCTGTGTTCAAACTTGGCTTTATTTAGTTTTTTGTAATCAAATTTTATTTTAGTTTTTTAGAGAAACACATACACAAAATGACAATCAACAAACATTTTTATACTACCCCTTTTACCCTCCACCCACACTCTCACTGGGGCAGGACCCTCAAGGGTACATCTCAGTACCTTTAGTCAGGGAACATAACTGTACTATAATCCACTGAAATCATATTTTCTAATTTGCATTGACTCCACACACCCCGTCTCGTCTCCAGGCTTTTTATTAGGTTATGATAGGTACAAATACGAACTTTTCACCTGAAAAAACGTATTTAAGGTGCACAATTGGACCTTAAAACCACTGTTGTACCTTTAATTTCTTCAATTCCATTCAGCCACATCCTCATTGTAGCTGGATTTACTCTATTAGCTCTAGCTGAAGATAATTGTAAATAAAGAATATCCAAGAAAGTTTGCAACCAGTGTGTAATTGTGAGAGAATGAGGTGGAAGCCAGCACTGAATCAAACTAAGCTTTATGAAGCAAACTACTCCATTTGTCATACACAATATAAGTTAATTCGTCTGCTTTCTTGCTAGTTAGCAAGCTAAGGCAATAAGAAAGCCAGTGCACCACCATATTATACCATATTCACATAGACAAACAAACCGACAATTATCCAAATTTTGTCAACTTCCCTCACCATTTCCCCTCAGGGGAATCCCTAATGCAGTGTTAAAGGCCGTTCCTTTACTTTATTAGCTCAAGTTAAGTTTATTAGATGAGCCCTTGGAGAGGGATTGAGTAAACACAAGAGCTCATTTCAGCAGAAGAACTTGTCCAGAAATGATTGACACATTTCCCTTTTTGAATGGTGGCCAGAGCTGTTTATAAGCATTAAGCAATAAAATACTTTAAAATACTGCAAACATTTGATTTTCTATGTTTAAACTGGGATTTATGTACCAAAGTACTCAATCTGTTTTGCATCACTGCTGATACAACTTTATTCTGCCAGGTTGCTGGTTAGAAAAAAACGGCACAGGCCAGTATGCCGGTCTAAGCTGGTCTTTGCTGGTTTATGCTGGTCTAATGCTTGTCTGGTGCTGGTTTAGCTGCTAACCCAGCCTACTAGCATCCAAAACACAACATATGCCGTTTTTTGATCTGATCTTTTTGTTGTTGCTAGCTGCCTGGTTTATGCTGGTCTAGTGCTTGTCTGGTGAGCAGCTAAACCAGCACCAGACAAGCACTAGACCAGCATAAACCAGGCAGGTCGCACAGCTAGCAACAACAAAAAGCTTATTGCTTATAAAACAGTTATTTCGAAAATGTATGTACGTTGTGTTCAGACTTCCCAAAAAAACATTCTGTATTAGCCTACAACATTTCCACACCTCGCTAAAGGACCAGATTTAGCGTAGTATCAGAACACTGAAGCTAACCTAGCTAACAGCGTGTTCTGATTGAAAAATCCACTGATCTGTGTCTCCTCCTGACTTTGTCCTATGAATGGTCACTTGTGTAACATAGGGAGCCATTTCAATGCTATTTTAACAGGCCCTTGCCAGCCTTGACTCACCACCTGGATGTGCCAGTTAGCCTCAGTAAGCTAACTAGCCATGCAAACTGTGTAATGCAAAGTTTTAACACAGTGAACACACATTTTGTGAATAATTGCTTTATCTGCCATGCTGAACAAAACTGGTTGATTAGCATACTAGCTTCTAAAACACAACATATGCTGGTTTTGCTAGTGGTCAGCCTATAGCTGCCATAGCTGTTGACCAGCATACCAGCAACCAAAACACGACCTATGCTGGTTTTGCTGGTGACCAGGCAGGCTGACCTATGCTGGTTGTTTTAGAAAGGTGGCTATAAGCTTTAATTTATTTATGTATTGACTATTTTTGTTCATGTTAGCTGTATAGCCTCTAACTTGCTAGCTAGCAGCTAGTTAAGTAAAGTAGACGTTTTATCAGTGGTCATGTTTAACAGATGGAGTGGTTTGTTACCCAAATCCCAGTGTGAACACAACAAATTGAACGCTATGATTTTGCAATATTACACATTATAAAGTATTTTATTGCTAATTGGGTTTGAAAAGAGTTTGAAAATGTTTGAAACATGCGAAATGTGTTGAAGTTGGTGAGCATGTGTTAAAAACATATTGAAACAGGGCCTAGGATTGCTTTTGGTGGCCCGTGCGTGAATGCTTAACATGACCTGAAAGTCTTTTTGTGAAAGATGGAAAATCACCAGTTATTGTCGAGTTGTTACCTGAGAGTGGACGTTCATGTGTTGCTCTAAGCTGACTGCGTGGCCGAAGGTCTTTCTGCAAATGCTACATCCGAAGGGTCGTGTGCCACTGTGAGAACGTCTCACGTGGACTTCCAGGCCATGAGGAGTGGAGAACACCTGGAAAAGACCAGAAGAGCAGGTATTAATGTGTAAATATTCTCATTTCTATCTATCCCCTAACATCAACGATTAGACACTGCACACGGATGGTTCTCAGATTACCTATTACCCAAAAACATAAGCAGTACACTTTTTTCACATCAGCTCTGAACCTGATGCTTCAAAAGAGATTTGCATCTGATTGTTACCTGAGATGGAATCATTATGGAGTTATGAAATAACTGAAGTTTGGGTGGAGACCATGCTTGAAGTTCCTCCACCTTCCAAGCTGATATCTCATAAATTTCCATCGCTACCTCTTAGTCCTACATCTGTTCTTCAACAGCGTATCCAGCCTTCTGTCTTAAACCTTTATCACAGTGGCCATCAAAGGCCATTTCCCCTTGGAGGTCCCTCAGTTGCTATACATATTTTTCTTCAATAATGTAGATGGGATATATTTGTTTGATAATGTGTGTTTTCCTGTACCGGAACTGGATTTTGGCCTTCATTGGTGAGCAAGTTAACATTTATAAAAGTGTTTTGTATTGTGTTTAAACTGTATTTTTTATTGTACATGATTTTTTGATATGAAGAGAGCTGCAGTTGTGCTGTCTATTTCACACAGATATGCTTTTAGAGATATGTGAAAGCAGAGGGTTCTCACCCCTCATTGCTCACTAGCAGCTCATTTTCATTCTGAATGGCTGGTACCTTGTCAAGTTAAAAGATCTTAAATCTAGTCAAAATATCTAATATTTCCCATTTTGAGACGGTTGCACACTTATTATAAGATTATTTACTTTATTTCTAGACACTGAGTGCGTTTACGTGCACTTAATAATACGATAAATGCAGAAAATCAGATTTTTTCTGTAATCCGATTAGCGCGTTTATATGCACTTAGGTAATCAGATCATGGGAAAACTCCGGGTTTACATGAGTCAGGCAGTAATCCGATTTCTGTTTTGCAACCAGCCAATAAACTCACAGAAGAAGAAACTCAAACTTCAAGCCGCAGCTTTTTTTTTAAAACATCACGCCACTTTACCTGAGAATATGAACATACATCATCTAGAAGATGAAAATTATTTAAATCATTTATTTTGTAGTTGGTTTCAGCGTCACTTCAAAAGTGTTTTGCTGCGTCTCACGACAACACCACATGCTTATTTCCTGTACCGCTGTCTGTTCTCGGGCCTGCACAGACTGAGAAATCCGAAAGAAATCAGAGTAAGGGTTTACGTGCACTGAGAAATCAGATTACTGAGCTAAAATCCGGCTCTCTTTATCAGATTTCTTAATCGGATTTCTAGATCAGAGTATGGTGTTTACATGACCATTTGGATAATCGGATAACTGCAGAAATCCGATTGTGATCGGATTATCGAGTGCATGTAAATGCATTCGCTGTTTACTTGTTTTAGGTAATTTCATTAAGTAAAATGATCTCACTGTACTGGTAGATAATTTTGCTAGTTTCAAGCACATTTCATAAAACAAGCAAAATGATCTGTCAATATAGTGAGATAATTTTACTTAATAAAATTACCTAATGCAGGACTGGTGCAGGAGCTGGGAAGATCACAAGTAAACAATGTCTAGATAATAAGGTAAGTTATCTTAAATTATGCTTACAACAATCTTAACAGGAGAAACATTCGATTTATCGACTATATTTAAAAAAATTGTACTTGACAAGATACCAGTTTTTGCTGTGTAGGGTTCCTGTGTAGGCAACAGCAGAACCTGCCCAGAACTCTAGCTGAAGTTCTCAAGGTTCTCTCCCCTCCTACAGTCATACAATCTCTTGTCATACTACGATCATATGCTGAAGGTGTGGCCATAACTTGCAAACTAATGTTCTACTCACCTTGTCGCAGGTGATGCAGTGGTAGGTGTTGGAGGTAGGGGAGTAGTGTGTGCTGCAGTCCAGTGGTTGTGAGGCTTCTGGGCTTTGCTTTAGGTGGGACCCATAGAGGTTATTAGCATGCTGGAGGAGGGAGGAGTGGAAGCCCATCTGTCTGAAATCAAATGGGGAGGAAAGATGCTCCCACCCATAAGCTGGCTTATAGTAGGGTGCGAATTCTGCCATCTGAGGCTCTGCGGGAGGAGAAAGAAGACAGCTTTGTGTTTGTTGACACAATTTTGACTGTTTGACAAAGGCGGCTACCTGTGTGTGTTAAAAGCAGCATCCATACTGTTTTTTCTAACGTGCCTGAAAGATTTACAAAGCTCAGATCACACAGGAGATGAATGCATTTCAGATGACTGCTAAGTTCACTTACCAGGCATGTAGTAAGGCCGGCTGGCCGTGACCGACGGCTCAGGCCGAGGCAAGATCGGACGCTCGGGCTCATCTTCACCCTTAATATAAGCGTAAGGGTCTGTGTGGGAGGGTTCAGCGAGAGGACCTAACTGCAAGCTCCCGGGAGATTCTGGCTCCTTTGCCTCGGATGGGACTGGTGCAGGAGCTGGGAAGATCACATATAGAGCTCAACACAGTTAAACAGAGATTTCTGAAGTAAACTGCCTCAAACCAACCACTCGTTCCCTGTGTACTGTCTATGGAATGAAGCTGAGTGGTCTGACTCGGTCATAAATGTAATAGAGTTACTGCAATATTAGAACACTCAGCAATGCTTGGAAAGCAATGAGCTTGTACATAAATTAATTACCCACTGGACAGCAGCAGTGAGCTAACTGCTACTTGACTGAGAAACAACTGACCAACGAACAAAGTCTGACAGTATATTACATAACACAGTCAAGTATTAGTATAAACTAATAAATTACTTGTATGCATATATTAGTATTCATAGAAATATTAGTATAAACTTAGGATAATGAAATATTTTAAAAGTAATTAAATATTTAAAATGTATATATATATATATATATATATATATATATATATCGCTGCTGTTGGAAGAAAACTCTTTATCTCCATTTTTGTTTTTCAGTTTTTGACATAATCTGAAAAAGCCTGTTGCTCTTTACATTATATGTAAATTTCATGAAGAACGGACCAAAAGAAACGACCCAAAATTACTTGGAAAAAAAGTCTGGTTCCATTGACTTACATTAAAAGTAAAGAAGGTTTTTTCTGAGGTTTTGTTCTGACAACAGAGATATATATTGCTGCTGTCAGAACAAAACCTCGTATCTCCAAAATGGTAACTTTACAGGAAAAGGAAAAAACATACTTTACTATTAATGTAAGTCAATGGAACCAGATTTTTTTCCAAGTAATTTTGGGTTGTTTCTTTTGGTCCATTCAGAATGAAATTTACACACAATTTAAAGGACAACAGGTATTTTCAGATTATGTCAAAAACTGAAAAACAACAAAAATGGAGATTTGAGGTTTATATATATATAAACCTCAAATCTCCATTTTTGTTGTTTTATTATTATATATATAATATATAATTGTTTTTTATTTTATATATATATATATATATATATATAGAGAGAGAGAGAGAGAGAGAGAGAGAGAGAGAGAGAGAGAGAGAGCTGGTCCCTACAATGCAAATATTACATTTTGAGGTGAAGACGTCTTAAGGTGAGGGTCAGGGTTTAGGGTTAGGGTCAGGGTTTAGGCTAGTAGTAGTTGTGGTTAAGGTTTGAGGAAATTAATGGAAGTTTATGTAATGTCCCCACAACTCACAGAAATGAACATGTGTGTGTGCAAAACTTTGGGCACTCACTGATCAAATCACATTTTGTTGGTTTTCTAAGTGAGAACACAAAGAACACACTTCTGCAATTTTATACACATTTACTGTATAATTGCTGAATTAAACATAGTGGGAAAAAATGAAACACAAAATGTGGCCTGTGCAAAAGTCACATTTTATATTTTTTTTCTGATGCAGGTATATGGTTACTGTTGGGACAAAACCTTTTATCTCCATTTTTTGTTGTTCTTTTTTTTCTTTTTTTTTTATTTTAAATCCAAAATTCCATTAACCTTAGTTTAAAGTTAGGAAGGTTTTGTCCTTCTCCGTGTATTTCTCTCTGCATTTGTTCCACATGACTCAGTGTAACGATAACATGTATATGAAGACGATGACGAGGCTTTCTATTTGCACGGCAGTTCCAGTTACAAGTGCTTTTTTATTTCCCACCCGTATTCAGTCAGTATCAGCTAGTGATACAGCGTCCCACGGTAAGATTGGCTAATCGCCCAAACTCCTAAGCCAGTCCTAGCGCAGGATGCACAACTGACCAATCCCAGCACAGGGGGCGGGGTTTGTCTGGAACTTCGCCAGTCCGAGTAACCCAAACCGCTAGAGAAGTTAAAGGGGAACTCCACCGGTTTTTTTAAATTCTCGCATAATTAAACCGTTACGATGTAAACAAAGTCACTCAGGGTGGTCTGGTGTGAAATGCTGCGAACTTCATGTTCCACTGTTTCACCATTAATATTATCATTACATAAAAACTCAGACTCGTGTAGGTTCACTGGTGCTTTTTGATAGTGAATAAAATGGCTAGATTCGTGTCGTAGACACTGCGACTGCGGTTCTAATCTCCGCCACTGAGTTACAATGAACCATTTCTCATCAAACCACTCTAAACAGAATTCTTTACGTGTCAAACGTTTAAAAAAATGGAAATTAGGCGGAATTCTTCAGTGACAGCGCAGCTTGGGTCACGAAAACTTTAGTTTTAAAACTTTAATGCGCGTTTGAGCCATTTTTGACGCACGAGAGGCGCATTAATGAGGAAAACAGGTAAACTTCACTAGAAGTGAGATTGAAGAGCTGATCACGAATTTCAGCAGTAATGAAAAACAGATGAGCGCACAAATGATTACATTATGAAAAAGATAATACATGGATAATAAAGATCACTTACGTGTGATGTGTCCGAGCCCGTTCTGGTCACTCTCGAGGAACCGGGCCGCACTGTGTGAGGGGCACTTTTTGCTTTTGACCAAAAATGATCGAGGCATGATGGAGCTGGAGGGAAACAGGCAGCTCTGTTAGTCCTAAATATGTGTGTATGTATATATATATATATATATATATATATATATATATATATATATATATATATATATATATATATAAAATTAAGTCTCTCTGCACATAAATCAGCTGAGAGCTGTATGTTTGTATGTATGTATGTATGTAACGACTTATTGATTTCATACACTCTTGCCAAAGAAAAAGGTTCCATATAGTACTCAAAAGGGTTCTTTGACTCGTATTAATAGTGGAACCCTTTTAGGTCCTACATAGACCATTATTAAAAGAAAGGATTCTTTTAAGAACCACATATAATTGTTTTCATCATAGAGAAGAACCATTTGGCCATGCAAAGAACCATTCCAATGGTTCTTTAAGGGTTTACGGTTCTACATAGATCCATTGCCTTTAATGAAGAACGATCAGAACACCATTAACGAGGAGGATGACAGTCCTTTATAACTAAAAGCCTGAACTCCGGCTATTAACGTTCCTTGAAATCACTAAAATCACATCAAAATGCTTAAGAAGTGCTGAACTGTAGTCTGACACTCTGCAGCTCATCTGCCGTCTTTGCTCTTCTGTTTATTCTGATTTTCTGATTTCACGTCATAGCCTAGAAAACTGCAGGCAGTAATATTAATATAATAAAACCACCTTAAGTGCGAATGTTTTCATGAATTCATGAACTTTTCTAAACGAAACCAGCTTTAAAACCTTTCACTCACCTGTAATCTCGCCCTGCTTCTCCTCAGGATGTTAAAAACTCCAAATCCTTCAGACTCAGAGGCGCAAGCCCTGCATCTCTGCGCGCGGCCGCTCCTCTTGAGCTCCCTCCCTGATTTACAATCAGATAAACTTCTTTTTTTTCTGCGGTGGAATCTGACTGCGCTTTCAGCCAATGAGCGCCTCAGACACAGGTGCACATTTGCCTAAGACTGCTTAGGAGTTAAGGATGCTGGAAAATATTATTATTATTATTATTATTATTATTATTATTATTATTCGTTTATTTATAATTACAGTAACTTTGAAATAATTAAAACTTGCAAAGTTTCTTCCACCGTGCACAAAATGTGACACTTCTTAATTATAATGGATTTTTCGGTTTATATTTCCTCTCAGTTATACATATTGTTATATAATATTATATATTATGTGTTATTATTGTTATGTTTCCTATATTTAGAGCCTCCTCATCGCTGTTTAATGTAGTGTCGTGAGTTGGCGACAGTCTCTCCAGACAAAACACACACACACACACACACACACACACACACACACACACACACACACACCTCTTAAACACATACACCAAACCTGACCTGCTAGAGTCCAAGAGGTGTAACAGGGCTAGTTTCATTTTTTATTTGCCAGCTGTCTGCAGTGGGCACAGTTATACTGAGCTAAAAGTCCTTAAATTAAGCTAAATAAATTAAATAAGTGAATTAATTGCCTTGGAGACGAACACATGCTTCTACTAAACTGTGAGCAAATAATGAAACAATGAAATGAACAAATAAATAGGCTGAATAAATACTAATTCAATGAAAAGGCCATTTGTAATTCAGTTTAGTCTACACAAATGCAGTAAAATGCTACGTTGTGTGTAAACGATTTTTTTGCTTGCTTTGTGTTTAACTGTATATATATATATATATATATATATATATATATATATATATATATATATACCTGTATATATAATAAAAAATATATAATAATATATAATAAAAGCGCAGACTTTAAGCAGCAATAATGAAACACAGACGCTGTACAGACGCGCTCAGAGCTTAAAGGCTATGTGTCGCCCCCTTGTGGATGACTAGTGCACCTAACGGCCAAGTCGCTCAAATTTGGATTGGATCTTGATTTTAACCCTTGTGGGGTGTTCAGGTCTGTGGGACCCATTTTCATGTTTACCAAAAGATAAATAATGCGATTTATTATTATTTCAACCTCAGATTTTTGGTCTTTGCTCATTTTCTGTGAAGATCATATAAAATAACCAATTTTCAGTGTCTTCACTCTGTTCACCCCCCACACATTTATATTACACATATATTACAAAAGTGTGGAGGTGCAGTGTCCTTCACTCTGTTCTCCTCCTACATGGCCTGCTGTTAGTGTGTGTGTGTGTGTGTGTGTGTGTGTGTGTGTGAGGGTGGACAACATGGACAGGCTGCTGACTGGCTACAGCTGCTAAAGGAGAACCCTACGCTGACCACTTGTGATATTTTAAACATCTGGTATGTTTATGTAAATTGTTACGGCTGACCGACCCACTGGGTAACAAAAACATGAACACCACACAAGGGCTAAATATGGAGTGCATGCGCAAAAGTATTGTGTGACTTTAAATTTAAACAGTTTACTAAAGTAATCTATGTATACAGTCCTGTGCAAAAGTTTGAACACCCCCGGTCTAACGGCATGTCTTGTAGAAAATAAGCTCCTCCACAAAGGACACACTTGTATATGCCATTTTTTTACTTTAGTGCACAAATTAGTGCAAAATTGCTATTTAAACCACCTCCGTGTTCCTTGTATCTACACTGACGGTCCATTTTATCAAATTGTGGTTGGTTGTGCTTTTAATGGGAATTGGCTTAATGGTCACCATCATAGACAAGTAGTTTCCTGGAGGACACCTTTAGATACTATTAGGAAACCATCAAGTGCGTCTGGAATCAGTCCTGTTAAACCATTACAGTCCTTTACACTGTGATATCAACCCATCAGGAACACACACAAGTGTTTAATGGTTTGTATGATTTTTTTTTCTGCAGGGCATATAGATGCATTTTGTAGTTCTACAGTTACAGACTGTAGTCCATCTGCTTCCCTGCATACTTTGTTAGCCCCCTTTTAACCTGTTCTTCAGTGGTCAGGACCCCCACAGGACCACCAAAATTTTAACCCTGCTCTCAGAGGATGAAAAGTAGGCAATGGGTCATCTCTATAAAAAAGTGACAAACATGGTTGCTGTTGCTTGTGGAAACCCACACATGACTGCTAAGGCCGTCCAGTTAGGTAAGTGATTGGGAATCCAATTTAAAGGGCCATATCCTATATTTTTATTTTATTTCATTCCTTAAAGTCCACTTATGGAGCAGAGCTTTATGTACCAAAAACCAATCATAATTCATTGGTTTTGTTATTGTAATTAGCCTGTATTATGAACAACGTTGTCTTAAGTTTCAAGTGGGAAAATTTAACCTAATAACAAGGACAAGTCAGACCAGTCAAAAGCACATACTGTGTACAACACAACGTGGCGGTCAAACACATTATGCTCAGTATTCTAGAATCAAGCCAGATAGAGTTACAGTGGTTACATTCTGGCACCTCAGGTGTCACAACCACTGCTCCATTTAAGGTAGAATGGGACAATTCAAATGAGGAGCTGGCGAGTAGCTGACTTCAGCTTCATATCACAGAAGAATTAGGGGTGGGTGATAATAAATAATTGCCCCCCCACCCTTTGAAGGCATATGATGCCCTAAAGCCCAGCAGTGAGGAGCTGAACTTTACCCTCCTCTGCTATCACTGCAGACTGGCATGGTCGCCTATAGCGCACCGCTGTAAATGACCTAGTGGCCTGTTAATGAAGTAATGTTCTTCTTTTTTTGAGGGTTTGAGGGAAGATTTTAACCACTGTCCTTTGTAACTCAGTTCCAAGGGGCAAGGTGACCCTTAAAACAAGGGGTTGGAGTGAAAATAAGAAGTGGAATTGGGCCTTAGTGATATAGTTGGAGAACCTGGCAGGGGTCAAAGTCAGCTGTCAGATACTTGGTGGACGGCTGTTGAAAATGAAACCGCTTCTGTCATTGTCAGTGAAGCACATGACAGCCTTGTTGTGAAGAACTGGCTGATGGAAGCATCACACTTTGGTCTAAGAGCGATCAGAAGCATCACAAACTCCATCATTGAAGCTATTGGCAAATGTACCCTGATAGATATGAAACCATCAAGACTTTCTCCAGTGTTTCATACCCACCATGATGATAACGCTGACAAAAGACTGGAGAGTCATCTGAAGCCCATGAGAAGGACTTATAAGCTAAAATGGAGCTTTGAAAGTGCTTCTTGTGGAGAGACATGGTCCAGATCTTGGAGTCCTGTCATTAGTGAATTCAGCCCATGTGAAATAAAGGAGTAATGTGCTGAATCTGACCTGACTGATGATGAAGATTGTGAGACATTTAAAGACTCTGGAAGATGTTGCTTTAGAGGAAGTCCTGGAGCTTTTCTTGGTGATCTGCACTGAAGCTGCTCAGGAAGATTCAGATGATTTATCACCCTCAAGCTCTGTCCGTTATTCTGAGGTAGAGGGAAGACTTTCTAGGTTTTAATGAAAGAGTGGTCAGCCTGTATGACCTGTATAAGCTTAAGTCTGTATTTTTTGTAATTTAACTCTGATGATGACTTTCAGGTCCTTTGGGATTTGGTGTAGGAAGACAAAAAGGAAGAAAAGAAGGTAGGAGGCGAATTCTGTTACAGCTGTATGCAAAAGTTTGCACACCCCCAGTCAAATTACATTTAGTGAATGTAAGTCAACACATAACACAATTAGTAATAGTAATAGTTCTATTACGTCTATAGTTCCTTTACTCCTATAATTCCATTATTTCTATAGCTCCATCACCTCTATAGTTCTATTACTACTATAGCCCCATTGCCTCTATAGTTTTATTACTTGTATAATTCCATTATTTCTATAGCTCCATCACCTCTATAGTTCTATTACTCCTACAATTCCATTATTTCTATAGCTCCATCACCTCTATAGTTCTATTACTACCATAGCTCCATTACCTCTATAGTTCTATTACTTGTATAATTCCATTATTTCCATAGCTCCATTACCTCTATAGTTCTATTACTTGTATAATTCCATTATTTCCATAGCTCCATTACCTCTATAGTTCTATTACTTGCATAATTCCATTATTTCTTTAGCTCCATCACCTCTGTAGTTCTATTACTTGTATAATTCCATTATTTCTATAGCTCCATCACCTCTATAGTTCTATTACTTGTATAATTCCATTATTTCTATAGCTCCATTACCTCTATAGTTCTATTACTTGTATAATTCCATTATTTCCATAGCTCCATTACCTCTATAGTTCTATTACTTGTATAATTCCATTATTTCTATAGCTCCATCACCTCTATAGTTCTATTACTCCTACAATTCCATTATTTCTATAGCTCCATCACCTCTATAGTTCTATTACTACCATAGCTCCATCACCTCTATAGTTCTATTACTACTATAGCCCCATTACATCTATAGTTCTATTACTTGTATAATCCCATTATTTCTATAGCTCCATTACCTCTATAGTTCTGTTACTTCTATAGTTCGATCACTTGTATAATTCCATTATTTCTATATTTCCATTTGTTCTATAGTTCTATTACTTTATAGTCCAATACTTCTATAGTTCTATTATTGTATAGTCCCATTACTTCTATAATGCTGTTTGTTCTGTAGTTCCATTATCTTTAGAGTTCTATTTCTTTTATAATTCCATTATTTCTATAGCTCCATTACCTCTATAGTTCTATTACTTGTATAATTCCATTATTTCTATATCTCCATTACCTCTATAGTTCTGTTACTTCTATAGTTCGATTACTTGTATAATTCCATTATTTCTATATTTCCATTAGTTCTATAGTTCTATTACTTTATAGTCCAATACTTCTATAGTTCTATTATTTTATAGTCCCATAACTTCTATAATGCTGTTTGTTCTGTAGTTCCATTATCTTTATAGTTCTATTTCTTTTATAATTCCATTATTTCTATAGTTCCATTACCTCTATAGTT